CCCATGCACCTGGAGTGGCAATCCGAAATATCCCAGAGAGCACAACGCTTTAATTTGCTTCTCGAAGTATGGGACCAAAGGTACTAAGTACCAGTGAGCGATGTAGCACCCCAGCGTGGTGGAGCCGAGGGTCTGGAGCCGCGTCTTGACACCAGAGATCGCATAAGCAAGAAACGCCACTGAAGCTGAAAGCGCCAGGAAGATTGCCAAATTCCCCAGCAGGTCGGGATCGAAGCCGTCGTCGACCGTACCCTATTGTTGAGTGCATGTTTGGGTGAACCTCTCATCCCCCTCCTCATCCTCGTCCTCCTCGCCTCCTCCTCCTCATCATCATCATCATCATCCTCATCCTCCTCCCTCCCAGTCTCCCGCACCAGGTCCTGCATGGTATCGTACAGACCAGGGCCCACCACTCCGCTGAGGGTCAACTCGATAATGAGAAAGCCAACAAAGGAGCACCTGGCGACGAGGAGGCAAGGAGAAGGACGCTAGGATGACGAAAGGTAGGAAGGCTGATCTTGTTTCCCGTCGAGGTTTGTGCGGTTCCCCATCGGAGGGGTCGTGGCCCTCACTTTTGTGCCTCAGGATTTGCATGCTCCTCGGGAGAAGTTCGAATTTTCACATCGAAGCTTCTATTCCCAAATGTTACGTGGTGTTGGGCCCTCGTTTTGAAGATACGGCGTCCTGCGTCACTCCACCGCACATCACATCACCCCAACCTTCTCCCACCGCTGCTTCTGCAATCCGCACGCCTCTCTTCCGGCGCACCCCTCACACGCTTCGTGGCCACATAGGCAGCTCCACCTGAGACCCCGGTGGCATCGTCCACATGGTGGCGTCACACCCGTTTGGGCGCACCCCTCACACGCTTCGCGGCACGCAGCTCCACCCCCGTTGCGGCACACCCCTCACACGCCTCGTCGCCCCATGGGCCGCTGCACCTGCAAGGCCCCAATGGCACCGTCCACATGGTGGCGTCACTCCCGTTTCGGCGCACCCCTCAAACGCTCCGTGGCCACATAGGCAGCTCCGCCGATGGCCCCAGTGGCACCGTCCACATGGTGGCGTCACTCCCATTTCGGCGCACTCCTCACACGCTTCGTGGCCCAATGGGCATCTCCACTTGAAGCCGCACTGTCACCATCCACATGGTGGCGTCACACCCGCTTCGGCACACCGCGAGTCTCGTCGTGGCCTCATGGACAGCTCCACCTGAGGCCCCAGGTACCCCAGTGGCCATCCACATCGTGGTGTCACACAGTATTCGGCGCACCCCTCACACGCTTCGTCGCTCCATGGGCAGCTCCACCTCAAGACCCCAGGTGCACCGTCTACACGGTGGCGTCACACCCGCTTTGACGCACCCCTGACATGCTTCGTAGCCCCATAGACAACTCACCCTAAGTTCCCAATGGCACCGTCCACATCGTGGCGTCACACCCGTTTTGGCACATGCCTCACACGCTTCGTGACCCCATGGGCAGCTCCACCTAAGATCCTTATGGCACCGTCCACATGGTGGCGTCATACCCGTTTCGGCGAACATCCTCGCACGCTTTCTGGCCACATAAGCAGCTTCAATTGTACTGTAAGGCCCCAGTGGCACCGTCCACATGGTGTCGTCACCCTGGTTTCTGCACACTCCTCACACGCTTCGTGTCCCCAAGGGCAGATCCACCGAAATTCCCAGTGGCGCCGTCCACATGATGGCGTCACTCTCTTTTCGGCACACCCCTCACACGCTTCGTGGCCCCATAGGCAGCTCCACCTAAGGCCCGAGTGGCATCGTCCATGTGGTGGCGTCACGCCCGTTTCAGCACACCCCTCACACGCTTCGTGGCCCCATGGGCAGCTCCGCCGATGGCCACGGGGGCACCGTCCACATGGTGGCGTCACATCCGTTTCGGCACACCCCTCACACTCTTCGTGGCTTCGGGCGTAGCTCCACCGAAGGCCCCAAGTGGCAGAGTTGTCCCTGCCCACGTGGTGGCGTCACACCCGCTTCGGCGCACTTCATCACACGCATCGTGGCACCCTGGGCAGCTCCACCTGAGGCCCCAACGGCACCGTACACATGGTGGCGTCATACCCGTTTCGGCACACCCCTCACACGCTTCGTGGCCCCATGGGAAGCTAACACTAAGGCCCCAGTAGCCCCGTCCACATGGTGTCGTCATATCCTTTTCGGCGCCCCCCACACACGCTTCGTGGCCCCATGGGCAGCTCCACCTCAGACCCCAATGGCACCGTCTACATTGTGGCGTCACACCTGCTTCGGCGCCCCCCTAACAAGCGTCGTGGCCCCACATGCAGGTGGCGTCACACCCGTTTCGGCGCACCCCTCACACGCTTCGTCGCCCCATGGACAGCTCCACCTCAGACCCCAATGGCACCGTCTACACGGTGGCGCCAGCTCCGTTTCGGCACATCCCTCACACGCTTCGTGGCCCAGTGGGCAGCTCCGCCGAAGGTCCCAGGTGCCCCGTCCACATGGTGGCGTCACCCCCGTTTCGGCACACCCCTCACATTCTTCGTGGCCCCATGGGCAGCTAAACTTGAAGCCCAAATGTCACCGTCCACATGGTCGCACTGCTCGCCCGCTTCGTGGCTCCATGGGCAGTTCCACTTGAGGCCCCAGTGGCACCGGCCACATGGTGGCGTCATACCCGCTTCGGCGCACCCCTCGCACGCTTCGTGGCTCCATAGGCAGCCCCACCTAAGGCCCGAGTGGCCCCGTCCACATGGTGGGGGAAGGGCCTCGAGGGATGGAGGCGGGGAATAAAGGGGCCCTGGGACACACAAATAAATACACACAAATAAAATGATCCCCCATATTTTCCTATATGTTCTGGGTTTTTGTCTTCCCGCGCAATTCCCATATTTTCCCATATTTGCCTGGGACTCGACGATTCATTGTGTCTGTGTGTTTCTTTCCCTCCTGAGGGAAGCCAAGCCCCGAAGAGGAGCACCATCTGGTAACTCTGGCAGTCCTGCATGGCAGCTCGTCGACGAACCCCCAGAAGATCTGAACGCAGTGGTGTCCGTAGTGGAAGGTCCAAAAGTACTGCATCGCGAAGAACAAGTAGTGCCGGCTGAGGATGGTCGGTGAGGCGTCGAAATCGGTTGGCTCCTCGCTGCCGCCTCGGATGAAGATTGTCCAGACGATGTCGAATATTGAGTAGTAGGCAGTCCACGTGGCATTGTCGTTAACGCCAGCGCACCTCTCGTCCCTGTTGGTCTCCACAACACACCCAGCTTCTGGAGGCATCGTGAAAGCTAGAACAGTGACGGCAATACACTGAACGAGAGGTGGAAGCCTTGTCAGCCTGAATAGCACAAGCATTGCCTTGATCATCAGCACCGCTAACAGATACCATCTATGCCCGGAGGGATAGCACAAATTTTCGTCTAAGCAAACCCTGAGATAGACCGGGTCAATAATCCACATCATCTGCAGGTACGCCAGAAGCATTACAACGTCCGTTTTGCCGAAATGCGATGCATCCGTGTATCTAGCATCCGCATAAGCCGAAATCATCATGAAGCCGCTCATTGACTTGTAGTTGCCAGTCGAACGGAAGAGCACCTCGGCAAATCGCGAAACTTCTGCCGCTGCCTCTGCACCTGAATCCTGTCGTGGAAAGACGAGCGCCTCCAGTACCAGTCGACAGCGTTGCCCGTCAGAGCAACCATAATAATGGTCCATCACAACCCCATACATGTAAAACGCCCTCAGGTTATCCCCAACTCGCAAGCTCGTCGAATGTTCTCCAGCGTATCGGCGGATCTGCCCGAGAGAATCTATGGCTTCCTCAAGCGCTGGATTCTGCACTGAGTCCGGACCTTCAAACTGAACCTCACCATCGCCCGACGCTTCACTTTGCAACGCCCGCATGTCCACCTTGCCCGAAGACAAAGTTGGGAGGTTCGGCCTCGATGTAATTTTCGTGGGCACCATATACGCGGGCAGCCGAACCGACAGCTCTGGAAGCATGACCTGGACCAGGGCTGAACCTAAACTGTGTTTTTCGTTTTCGTTTTGCTTTCGTTTTCACTCGCTGTTGTCTCGAATCCGCCTTTTACCGCAAAACGAAGTCGAAACGAAAACGGCCCACGAAATCGCCAAAAACACCGTTTAGGTCCAGCCCTGACCTGGACCTCGAGGTCGCTCAGGGAGCTCTGCAGAAACGCAACGAGCTCTCCGCCCGGCCTCCGTGCCGATGCGGGGACAAGCAGGCAGCACAACCAAGGAACCTCCTTCGCGATCCTCGCCTGGAACGCCTCCCGCATCGCGGCCTCAGGAGGAGGAGGAGGAGGAGGAGGAGGAGGAGGAGGAGGAGGAGGAGGAGGAGGAGGAGGGGGGGGAGGAGGAGGAGAGGAGGAGGAGGAGGAGGAGGAGAGGAGGAGGAGGAGGAGGAGGGAAGAGGAGGAGGAGGAGGAGGAGGAGGAGGAGGAGGAGGAGGAGGAGGAGGAGGAGGAGGAGGAGGAGGAGTTGGGGACGGGCCTAAAGCCAAGGATCCACGATTAGACGCAATCGGCCGCGTCCGAGTCTATCTCCTCATTGAGGGGCGCCCTCGGACGCGTCGAAGCCTCGTCTCGGTCTCGAACCCACGCGAGGTCGGCTTCCACGAGCCCGAAAGAGTCCAAGACTTGCTCCCTGCACGCGAGACCGGCTTGGGAGCCGAATTGACCTACTGGGCTGTCCTGCTGGGCCCCCGGACTTCCTGACCTCAGCGCTTCGGCTAGCGTCCGACGCTCGACGAGAGAGAGGCCCACGTGAGCCAAGGAGAAGCCCTTTCAAGTCTTTCTTATACGAGGAGAACTTCGACTGACGAATCCTCCTCAACTGGTCTCTCAGGCCTCCTGCGGCGCCCGTCTTGGGTCTACGAGGGCTTAGCAGACCCATAGAGGGGTTGCCTCCAGAGCTGAAGCAGCCGCACTTGACACAAAACTGAATCTCGTCCGTGGCATGTCCGATGGGGTCGAGAACCTTGGCCCCTGGGAAGGCATGCCCGTGGCAAGGGAAAGCCAGGAGCGCACTCGTCTCCCACGCCCCCAAGTCCTCCCCCTCGCCCATGGGCCGCCAGTCTTCTGCCATCTGCTGGCTGGGGGGGTCGGCGTCGGCGCCAGCGGCGCCGGGCGCGGCAGCTGCTGGGAGGGGGGGGGGGGGGGGCGGAAAGGGGGCCGAGGCTGCGGGCGCCTCCAGGCCCGCGGTGGCCCTGCCAAGCAGGGAAGACATGGTGACCTCGAGCTGCGCGGCCCACCTCCCAGCCTCCATCGCCAGGATCCTGAGCCCTCTCCACAGATGCGCGTCGGCATCCGCGCGTCCACGCAGGTCAACCTCAGCCTCGGCGAAAACATCGGCATGCTGATTCGCGCTCTGGTCCCGCGCTATGGGCGCCCCGGACTGGACGTCAGCGGCCGTCGCGTGGACGTTGGTTGTGGAACACTGGAAATCGTCCTGACCGAAAGCGGACCAGAAGGGGCCCCGGAGGTGCCCTGCACGTTGGTCCAGGAAGCCAAGGTCACGGAGGGAAGCCGACCTGGGTCAACATATGCACAGCATAGTCCTCCCTGTCTTTACTTGTCTGCTAAAGGGCTGCACTCGCGGGTGCAGCTCCATATGCTGCAGATAAGAGGTTGCCAAGTCTGTCAACGCTACAGATTGCCCAGCCTGCGCGAAACACGCCTTCCAAGTTGCCCCACTTGGCGGACCCGTCGAGGAAGAGGTGTCCTGAGAGCACGCCTGAAGAGGGACGATTGTGCCACCGAACTGCCTCATAAACCTCGGGGAGCTCGAACAGGGCCCGGGGGTCGGGGAAGATCCCACGGGCAAGCATTTCACTGAGAATTGGAATGTCTTTCGCCCTGTCAGCGCATTGTTTCAGCCTGTGTCCTACTCGGTCTCGGCGCAACGCCTCGAGCGCGGGGCAGGCGCGCTGCCAATGCCACTGAGTGCCAGGCACCCCAAGACAGAGTTGACGGAAGCGATCTGGATGAAGCCCATGACTGCACGGCCTCGCCCAATGCCAATGTACACCTGGAACTAAGCCCCGGAGACACCTCCGGCGATGCTTGGCCCACGTTGCACTCTTGCCTTTGACGAGCTTCCGAATCCCACTCCAGAAAATCGGAGCGCGCGGTGGCCCGCGCGGGCCGTTCTGAGCACTGAGAGCGCGCCGGTTAAACTGCCGAATAGCTCCTTGCCTAAAGCCTTCTCCGATCTGCATCGGGGCCAGCTGCAGAAGGTTAAACTCAACCCCGAGGTCCGAGATGATGTGCAAGCTGTCCTCATTAAAATTCCAGCCGACCCCGCGAAGGCCACGCGCGCGCTCTCCACGGGTGATCCATCTTAGACAGCTTGAGCAGCCAATGCTGGATCGCGTCGCCTAAAACCTGTGCGTTCGGAACAGCCCCCCCCCCCCCACACACACATGAAAGGCACATGCCCAACATCAACGATAAGCGGGTACATCCTGGGGCCCAATTCGCACGTGAACATCCGGAGCCCCACTGAGGCCCCCCATCGGGAGCCCCCCGACTGATGAAACAGCCGAAATGCGAAGTCCTGCCATTCGAGTCGGAGCTACGCCTGAAACGCTGGAGACCAATAAAAGCTGCTGCCGTCGGTGCACCATCGTTATATCAGCCCCAGCACCCTGCGATATCTTCAAACGACGAGCTCTGGACGACGCCTTCGACAATGTGGCACTCTGGACGCTGATCCTCCTCACTTTTCCCAATGTCGCACTTGCCCCTAAGTTCCTCGTTGAACCAGTCCTGCGCGACGCGGGCGTCGACCAGAGCCCGCGCAGGTGGTGGTCAATCTCTCTGGTGCAGAGGCAGGCGCACTTCTGAAATTCAACGGGCAACTGCCGCAATTTGAGCGACTGGAAGAGCGACTCGGCTGCTCCTGCCACCTGAGATGAAGCCCTGAGCGGAGGCCCGCCCGTCTGCAGCGCGATATCGCCCACGACGTTGCGCGCGCACAGCAGGCGCCTGTGCCCCCGAGCCTGCAACATCGGGCCTAACAGCAACATATTGGCAAACGTGGTGGCCGCTGAGTAGCCGGCAACGACCGCGCCGTTCGCTTCGCGCCGATGACCTCCGAGGTTGCCCCACCATAGAGGAGCGCGCGAGAGCCTGCGTAGATGCAGCAGTGCCCTCGCAGGAGCCTGACTGGAAAACCAAACCTCTTGGCTGCCGGATGCAAATGATCGCGAGCCACATTCCCATAAAACTTGGCCAAATCCGAAAGCGCAGAAGCCGACGAGATGCCTGGCACTTCAAAGTGCGCCCCCAGAAGATCGTGAAACCACCCGGCCCGCTCGCGCGTCGCATCTGGCTCAGAGCCCCAGAAGATTTCGAACAGGTGCGATTTTCCCAAGACTTGCAGTAGGGCTGCCTCGGGCGACTCCAGAGCTTCATGGAGAAACGAAGCAGTCCGATGGGCCCGACCCCTCCCGTGGGTTTGTCCAGGGAAACCACGCTGACCAGAAACATCCCGATCGAACCTGGGTCGACCCCGAACAACGAAATCTCTAAGACGGAACTGGTGGCTCTCAGGCAACTGCAGGACCCACCTAGGATGAAAACCGCCCCAGCCTAGCCCAGCACATGGGCCGCGCTCGCGGCGCACTCGCAACAGATCTTCCAAGCGGAGCGGGGCGAGGTCGGGTTCGTCATGTGGGACCCCCCCAAGAGGGCGGGTGAAATCCACGACCAGGCACGCGCCGCACCGGGGCCCACCGGGCAAGGGGCTGACGCCATGCGGCCTGGCCAGCCACAGCGAGAGCCTCATCGCCCCCAGCTCGAGCGGTCAGGCACGAAACTTGCTTCTGCGAAAACGCGTGGGCCGCTTTGCCCCTCCTGATACAGCATTATTGGCCAAGGTGCGCCACTTGGCCAATTTTTCGGCCGCGTCCAACTTCTGGCGACGAGATCTCGGCGTCCACAGTCTCGAGGTCCCCGCCCTGCCAGAAGGTGCCCGAGACGGTCGCCGTTTCGACCGTCGCCTGGAGAGAGCCCCAGGTCACCTCGCAGCCCTGGAAGTCCACGCCTTGAATCAAGTCCTTGGGCTCGGTGCGCCAGGAGTCCAGGAGCTGCCCCCCCCTGGCCCCTGGGCCCCCGGATGCGATGGCCCAGGCTTTTCTCAGCAGTGCCCCGAACGCAGCCCACGGATCCACGACGTAGTTCGGGACGAGAACCGCCTCCGAACGTCGCGTTCCAGAAGGGCTGAAAGAGGGGCCCGCTTCGTCTTAGGTCGAGCTGGGCGGCCAAGGCAGGCCTCGCAGTCATCTAGCCCGTGGGTCTAGAGCAGGCGTCGCTCAGCTTCTGGAGAAAAAAAAGCATTCTATAGATAGCCACTCCAAACGGCGATCTAAAGGGTCGGACCGCTCGACAGGGCGCTCAGCGGGAAGGGGGCCATCAGCGTCGCGCCGAACGGCGCGGAGCGCACCGGCTGGTCCACGACCGTGGACGCGCCGAGGCCTCTCATCCGCAAGACGACAGGGCTGCGGGGAACAAGTGGAGCGTCGCTAACTAGCTGCACGTCGCGCACGCAGCTGCCAATCGCCTTGGCAATTACAAAGCAATCCAAGACTCTTCCTCCCCCATCATGGATCACCAAATCCCCTCCTCCTGCTGACTCCTCCCTCTGGCTCCACTGCGATGGCCAGCGCGCGGGGGCATCGGGCCCGGCCGCCTCCTGCAGCACCGGTTGGAACCAAGCTCCCGCGGCGCCGAACGGCAGGCTCGAGTGCACCCGACAAGGCCTGAGCAGGCCCCGGGAGCAATGCAGGCACAGCGAAGCCCAGCCCGTCCCACTCTACGTCCACGACGTTGTGGTCCCAGAACTGGTCAAGCGCCTGGCACTCGTCAATGACGTCGCACTTTCCTGACCCCGAGCGCAGCAACTGCTTGGGCATACTTACGCTTGGCTGCTTCCTGGTCGGCTAGCTGGGTATTCCGCAGCTCAGCAGCCGCCTGTCGAAAGGCTTCTTGGCGCTCTTCAAACTGCTCCCCTGCCAGCAGCTCCATGCTGATGTCGTCTCCATCTCCGTCTGCCGCCGCCAAGGAGGAGGAGGAAGAGGAGGAGGAGGAGGAGGAGGAGGAGGAGGAGGAGGAAAAGGAGGAGGGGTCGGTCCATCCCCTCGCTGCCCACCTGCTGGGCCTGCACGCTGGGCGCCACCGCCAGGCGCGCCGCCACCGCCGCCAATAGGAGGGGGCTGCGCCGCGCGCGACCTGGAGGTCAAGTGCCCCCTCCTACCGCTGAGCCAGCTTGGCGAGGGCCTGCT